GGGGGAGGGGGCGGAAGCGGCGCTGTGAAGCGGGGGGGGGCGGTGGTCGGCGGGGAGGAGCCGGCAGCGGCACGGGCCCGGGTGCCGGGCAGCTCGGCCGACATCCCGCAGCCTGCCTGGAGGAAGGAGGCCTGCGCCCCGTAGCCGCCCTCCGAGCGTCCCGTCGGTTACGGTTCAACTCTGTCGTGCCGGTCCCAGTGGACGGTGGGTCCAGCCACACAACGTCGTCAGATGCAGGTCCCTTGGCTGGGGATCCTCGTTGCACACTTCTGAATTCCAGTTCCTAACACGTCTCGCTTGCACACCTCCCACGAGAAACTTGGAAACCAACCTACTAAGCTCTGCCAGACCTGTGACTCCAGATAAAGACAGCGAAATGAAGACAGGAAGGCACACACAATATTACTCACTTCCTCTGAGGCAGCTCAGCAACAAGCTGACCAACTACTGCTGCCCCTTAGTCCAGCCAAACACCTCCAGTGTATCTCCAGAGTTTTAAAATTACTTAGACCTGCACAGTGGAGCAAGCACAGCCATTTATAGGGTTAGTTCACTGTCAATAAATACTCACATGCTGTTGTGTAAGTATGTGAAACATACAACTGGTATTCAGGGAGACAAGAAAAATCTCTTCCAAGTACTTGATGCAATAAGACTTCATTAAACACTGAACCACTCCGCAGGTCAGTCTGAAATAGCAACAAATACAAGGCAGCTGTACACTATCAAATATTCCAGCTAATTTATAATTTGAAAATGTCATTAAAAAAATAATTTTTACTCAAACTTTTCCCACGTTTAAAAAAATGAAACTTTCTGAAAAAAATAATTTTCGTAAAACAGAAGCTAATTTTTTAGTGCAAACTTGTGTGGTATTTTTAATCATATTCTTTATAAAACTGTGAATATTTTGCTCCCTTCAGAAATTAATAACTTTCTCCAAAAATATAGCTATCAGCTGGGCAATGAGAGAAATACCCTCAAAAACAAATTTGGAGAGCACTTTTCAGTGAAAATACTGCACCAACACACATGATTTTCAGACATTTACAGAAGGTGTTTCAGTGAGGTGTTTACAGATGTGAGCCAGAGTAATATCTAAACTTAATGGATTTGTAAACTATAAATGGATTTGTTCTCTGGAACTAATGAAAACAGTGAAAAATGTTTCATTAAAATTCTCAGTCAGTGGATCTGACTAACTACAGGTGGAAAACTCCTGAGAAAGTAATTCCCACTTTCAGGCCCACTTTTAGAGGGAAAACTTTTAATGCACTTTTCCTCCATAAAATGGAAGTAAAACCAATAAAAAGACTAGGATAAATGCAGTGAACAGATTTGCACCCTTATTTAAAAATCACAGCTGACCCAGAGTCAGAGTTGCAGCTATTTGATTCTTTGAAATTTTATGTAGAAAGAAGGAAGCAAAGAGTCTGACATGCAGTTCCTCTAAATATAGCTCAGTTATTAGCCCTAGTATCAGTAGGACAAAGACAAAACTGGTATGCCCAGGAAAAGATCCATGAAATCATAAAATGAGTTTTCTTTTTTTTTTTTTTTTGAATCATGTAGAACATCTATTGAAAAAATACCCTGTCAAGAACATTTGCAGGCACTTATCTGGTGACTTGGATTTACACGAGGAGTTTCACTGCACATGCCTGAAAGTTTGACAGCTTTTCACCATAATGAAAGTTGTGTTAATTCCTAAGTTTTCCTGGAATATGAAACCCCTGCCTGCTTCCAGTCCAATTGCAACCACGGTAGAGCCCCACTGAAGCCACAGCTGGACATCTGAGCCTCCCCAGCACATCCACAGTAAAACCAGTGATTATAACAGGACCAGCTACAGAGCTGCACGGATATAGCAGTGAAAAATAAATGTAATTTGACTGTAAGATTGAAAGGCTAATTTCTGCTTTTGAGCTACTTATGTACAGTTAAAGAATTATACCCTAAACAAAGAATGAAAATCTAGGAGACTCAACGGGAATCTTACCTTCAGTTTCTGTGGTGCCTATTAAGATTGCATGGCATTAGTCTGTCCCAAGTGCGCACGCATTGGAAATTTAGGCTCAGCTATAGAATTGGCTATACTGGAGCTGTGAAACGCACCAGCTACAGCACTAGAGGGGCAGATCGCTCTGGTCACACAGCAAATGTCACTGCTTATAATAACGAAACAAGCCCCCCGAGCTACGTCTGCCACAGCGCAATTCTGAAATGATTCAGCCGCTCTCGGTTTTTCTCAGCGATAGGTTTTCCAACCTGTTCCTAGCCCTCAGCCTCCTTGGTAAGACCGCCAAGTATTACTTTATCTGTATATTATAAGGATGTCTAACTTCAGGAAGGGACTGTGGTCTGCAGTGTATTTGATGTAGTGCACAGCTGGCCACTGACCTACTGCCCTGAAATCCTTGGTAAAATAAGACGATTTGGGGAATTATCTGTTTAATTAAAAATCTGTTTAATTTGTTCACTTTATCAGTCAGAGGCTCTATGTCTTAAAAGATGGATTGAGTTACAAAATATGAGGCCTGTGCCTATTAACAGAAAAAATGCAAGTCGGAAATTAACCAAAAGGAGATGAATCAGATATATGAAACTTTCTTCAGGAGAAAGCTTTTCATGTATGACTG